GCTTCAAGTTGTCACCAAGAACTCAAAACATTAATTGATATATTGAAAATGAGAGCAGGAGAGGCAACTCTCCAAAGTTATAAAAATGCTCTTCATAAGAGCATATATATATGAACTACTAGCTTGGAACCCTAATTACAACATAGGCTCGTATAAACATGGACTTATGTTGGGCTTTTCATGTGTGTGCTTCATTACTCCTCTGCAATTTTAGCGTCGAGTCAAAAACGAGATGCAAAGTTTGAAAGCAAACGTAGACGACTTGGAATAACATGACGACTTGAAGCAAGAACAACAATGATGTAGACAGATACTCTGTTCACCAAGGAGAACATTAGTGTAAGAACTTTTTCAGGTTCTTTTGACCTATTTGTCTCACGAAGAGTCCAGGTTTCTTTTCCTGTTTGACTATCCTAAGTTATCTCATGACAAAAGAATTATCTTCCCAAAACTACTGAAACCTCACTCAATCTCAGCTTGTTTTCCAAAAGCCACCGAAATCTGCCATTCAATCAGCCTTCTCTTATTTTACCGAGCACCTTTATGTATGTGCAACAAATTTTAAAATTTGCAACAGAGACTAAGCATCCCATTTACGTATAGCAAACCCAAACCTAGCCTATTCCATTCTAGCTTCAGAATACCAGACATAAATCTAAACCAGCCAGCAGAATCTTCTTCTCAAGCTATCACACACGGCATTACCAACTGTTTTGTCTTAGAAGAGAGTAAAGACATAACCTTGTGTGAGAGGGACTGAAGCTTGATCTTCTGGTTGGAGAGAACCCATGAACCTGGCTCTGATACCATGAAAGGATTTTGAAATTCAAAGATATTTTAAACTGAAATTCATTTCTAAGAGCTTAAAGGCTCCATTACAACTTAGCTGATATTTATATAAGAGATTAAGAAAAACATTGAAAACCCTAAGATAACTCTACCACAGTTAAAACAAACTCATTTATGTGGTTAGCATTCTCTAGACAGGTGTGCCAGGGTGTCGAACTTGTTGAGCACTTCAACCGTACAAGCTGTAATGAAGCTCTCGTCGTCTCTGTTCGTACTCTGCTTTTGTGTTTTGTCTTTTTACAGGTTTGAAAGAGAAGACCGTTGAAGGCTGGATTTTGAGTAGGCTTCTTCACTCTTGGGCCTTGTTTGGTCTTGGCCCAAGTTTGCCATTTTGCTGAATTCCGACGAAGTAACGTCGTTTAGTTTCTCTGTTCTATTAGTTTAGACATGCTAATTAATGATTATGGTTAAAATAACGACAAGGTAATCCGATTAGATAGCTATAGCACAAAAATAAGCATGTTTCCACATGAGTTAAGGAGACAAGCTGATCTCAAGATCTTACCTTGCCTTCAAAGTCAGGAAAACGTGGTTAGAAAAATGTGGACAGAAATTACAAGAGATATTAAAAATTGCAGAAAAGGAGGTGGCAACTTGGGAGATAGCATAAATCGATGATTATAACACGAAACTACAACAAATTGTGTAATATTTTATTTAATCTTGTAATTATAATACAGCAATGATTGAGATATGAGATCTTGAACGAGAACGAGAACATGTCTTCGTATACGAAGCTATGGTAGTAAGAATCACTAGGGTGACACATTAGAAGAAATGATTCGAGTTTGAGGTAAAACAAAGTACCACATTTTTAACCAAAAAAACCATTTTCTGAAACACAGGAAAACCATTGTTCGAATGTTTATTTCATGTTTTTAGGGTTTGGTGCAATATACCTTTATTCATAATTTACATAGTTGTGGTTATATCATGATCCTAGCTTTGAACGGGCAGACTTGGGATGCTCTGCTCGTGTCTGAAGACGTTATGTGGATCAACTTTTGATTTAATCTTCACCAATCTGTCAAAATTGTCTTTAAAGTACTTAGTTCCCCAGACTTGAGCTTTCTTGAAGTTAACCTTTGAGTTGTTCTTGTTCTTCCCGAGGTCTAGATCTTTGTAGTTCACATACGATTGTCTTGGATTGCTTGAGACATAAGGCGTCATGAAACTGTATAGATGTCTGAGCCAGTTAATGTGTTTACTAGGTCTCTTCTCGGTGTCTGTGTAATAGAGAATCTTGAAGATGGTGCCGCTTCTATGCGGGAAAGGGATCTCAGATTCAGGGAATTTGGCCATCATTCCACCGTAAGGAGTCCAAGCCAGAAATGAAGAAGAGTCTTCTTGAATCATTCTCTTGAAGATTCCTCTAAGCCCTAAAACAGGAATAGGGTTTTTCACGAAATCCGACTTTGATTTGAAGGAAGGTTTTCCGAAAGGTGATATCGCCTGAAGCAAAGCCTCAATAGAAGTATTCGCCGGAAACTCGGCATTGTAAACAGTGGATTCGATCCATTTCATTTCAATACAATCCTTCCGAGTTAGCCCTAGTTCCGGAAAACCCTTGTTCATAACCTTCATCAAAAAGCCTTTCGCGCCAAGAAACAGACTTCTGTACGATGTCGTCACAGTCTTGTTTCCAACGATTCCACTAGGTCTGATTATCACTCGAATGAAGAGCTCTTCAACAAGCTTGTCTGCGATTCTTTGCCACTTAGAAAGAGTCTTGAATTTAGCGTCTTGTTCCAATGTTTTGTTTACGGTGAATACGGTTACAGTTTCAGGAAGAGGAACAAGCTTGATCTTCCATGCAAGAATTACTCCAAAACTCGCTCCACCACCTCCTCTAATAGCCCAAAACAGATCCTCTCCCATCCCGATTCTGTCGAGTAATTTGCCATTAGCATCAACGATCTTTGCGTCTAGAACATTATCTGCTGCAAGACCATACTTCCTCATCAAGGGACCATATCCACCGCCTGTTATATATCCACCTATGCCAACGGTTGAGCACAAACCCGCAGGGAATCCATGGCGATTGCTCTTCTCTGCGATTCTGTAGTTAAACAAAAACATCAAACATAATTCATTATTCGATACTTGATGGTTTAATATTTTGCATGTACATGTACAGTAAAACCTATAAATTAATAATGTTAGGACTGCAATATTCTATTAATTTATCGAGTTATTAATTTATTGATATAAAATCAGCTCGAAAAACTAATTTGGGACTTAAGAAATGTATTAATTTATCAAGGTATTAATTTATCAAGTATTAATTTATAGAGATTATACTGTATAATTAACTATTTTAACGCATAGAAACATGTATATGCTATGTTAAAAAATAATTTTGTGGGAAAATAAACTTATATTCCATGCATTTTTAGTTCCTTAATGTAGTTCCTAATGTTGCTACTTAGAGCTAAATTGTATATTGCTATACTGTTGACTGTTGAGTCTGTATAGAGAGCCAAAAGTTTGTCTACAGACAGGTAATTGAACCATCAAGCTTTCTTTCATTTTGAAAATTTACAACCAAAGGAAACAAATTGTCTGTTGGTAACAATTTTAGTTTGATTTTTCAACAGTATCATTCATAATAATTCAAATTTTTGTAAATTTGTTTTGATTTGCTTGTAAGAAAATTAAGTTTATATATTAATGCAAACACAGAAACTGACCTACGAAACAAACGTAGTTTAGATTACCTGTAGTAAAGTTCACCAAGTGTAGCACCAGCTTGAACCCAAGCACTGCTGTCTTCAATATCAACTTTGATCTGTCTCAGTTTTGAGAAATCGAGCAATACAAATGATGTTTCCATCTGTGAGACATAGGACACGCCTTCGAAATCGTGACCACCGCTTCTAACACGGAGATGAATTCCAAGTTTCTTGGAACATATGATGGAAGCTTGGACGTGAGATTCGTGAACTGGTTTAAATATGAAAATCGGTTTAGGTAGTGACTTGGTCAAGAGCCGTTGATTTTGAACCGTCGATTCAAGAACTTCGATAAAGATCGAGGCGTTTCTTTCAGGAGTGAAGAACGTTTTCTCGAGTGGAAAATCAACATGTGTGTTTCTGTGGAGACATTTGATGAAATCATCTTGTATGGAGTTTGAAGAAATTGGTGTTATTGTGTAGAAAGAAAAATATAGGGCTATAAACGATATATAAAAAATCATCCCTACAGCCAAACACATAATCTGCGACGACAAGATGGAAATGGATATATGTTAGGAGTTTTCTTCTTTTGTCAATGAAGAAATGTGTATATATATGAAAGATCGTGATAAAACAAGATCCATTAATTCAGTTGATCGATCAAATCATCAGATTTCGCTGGCTATGTTTGCATTATTTTGTTTCTTGATGTGACTTAGTGACAGTCACATTGCAACTACATGACAACTTGACTTTATTCCTGCTTGTGACCCATTTTTTTGTTTGACTTTGCTGGAATTAGAAATCTTAAGATTAATTTGTTATCAACAGAAAAAAAACTAGATATTTAAATATGCACATGAAGTTAAAAGATTCATATGGATTCAAGTATTCAACTGTTAAAAATGAACTTATAAAAAGCACACATTTTTTTTCAGTGAGAAGATGGGTTTAGACATGCTAATTTCGGTGAGAAAATGGGAAATCATGTTTCTATCTTGCCTGATTATGAGCCTAGGAATCAATGTTTTGAACCGCGGTTGGAGGAATATGTAATGTTATTGATGGTTGGCTGTGGACATCTTCGTTAAGTTATTTCAAAAGGATCTCCACAAATTAGAAGTTTTGTTGGATTTGTGCAGTATCTTAATTTCGGATTCAATTGCTTTTGTTTTGTTTTCTGTCATAGTTTTGAACTGCTTTTATTCGTTGTAATTGTAGTATCGCTTTCCTTTGATAGGGATTTGAAAATATGGATAGAGATCATTAAAAATTGCAGAAAATGAGGTGGCTACATGGAAGATAACACAAACTGATGATTATAACACAAAACAACGACATATTGTTCCTTCCTCGGTAATCTCGAGTTTCTCTATATTTAATATTGTTGTTATTTAGATGGCTCTTGGAACGAGACATGTATATATATATTTAGGTTTGGACTTGTATTGTTCTTATTATAACATGAACTTAGCTTCAAATGAGCAGAGGTGGGATGCTCTGCTCGTGTCTGAAGAAATTCTCTGGATCAACCTTTGATTTAATCCTCACCAATCTGTTGAAATTGTTCTTGAAGTACTGCCTTCCCCACACTCTCGCATTTTTCAAGTTTGAGCTCGCGTTTTTCTTGTTCTTTCCCAAGTCAAGATCTCTGTAGTTGACGTAAGCTTGTCGTGGATTACTTGAGACATAAGGCGTCATAAATTTGTAGAGATCTCTGATCCATTTAATGTGTCTGATCGGTCTCTTGTCGCTGTCTGGCCAAACCGTTATGTACTGAATCTTGAAGATGACTCCTTCTCTATGCGGAAAAGGGATTTGAGACTCTGAGATTCTCGCCATCATTCCTCCGTAAGGAGTCCACATCATCGTCGGCGAGTCCTCTTTGAGCAACTTCTTGAACATACCGATAAGCCCTAATTCAGGAATAGGGTTCTTGACGAAATCCGATTTGGCTTTGAAGTTGATCTTTGGGAAAGGAGACTTCCCTTGAAGCAAAACATTAGTAGGAGTCCCACTTGGGAATCCAGCAATGTAAACAATGGATTCAATCCAGCTCATTTCAACACAATCTTTCCTCGTTAGCCCTAGCTCCGGAAAACTCCTCTTCATAACTTTCATCAACGCGTCTTTGTCGCCGAGAAACAGAGTATTGTATGACGTTGTCACAGTCTTGTTTCCAAGGCTTCCAGCTACGTTGAAGATCACTCGAATGAACAACTCTTCAACAAGCTTATCTGCAACTTCTTGCCACTTTGAAAGAATCCTTGTGGCGTCTTGTTCTAACGTTTTGGTAACTGTGAAGACGGTTACAGTCTTTGAAACAGGAACAAGCTTAATCTTCCATGCAAGAATTACCCCGAAACTCGCTCCACCTCCTCCACTAATCGCCCAAAACATATCCTCTCCCATCGAGGATCTGTCGAGTAATTTGCCATTAGCATCAACGATCTTTGCGTCAAGAACATTATCTCCAGCAAGACCAAACTTCCTCATCAAGGAACCGTATGCACCGCCTGTTATGTGCCCACCTATCCCTAAGCTCGAGCACAAACCTGCCGGAAACCCATGGACCTTGCTCTTCTCTGCAATCCTACAGGTATGACAAAACAGTTTCTTGATCAAATAAATCATCAAAGATTCATAGTAAAAGTATTGGAGATAGCTTGGGGAGCAAGATACACATCTTAAAAATTTATATACCTGTAATAAAGTTCACCAACTGTGGCACCAGCTTGAACCCAAGCATTGTTGTCTTTAATATTAACATTGATCTGTCTCAGCTTTGATAGATCCAACAATATAAATGGTTTTTCGATCTCTGATACATAAGACAGGCCCTCGTAATCGTGACCACCGCTTCTGACACGGAGATGAATTCGGAGTTTCTTGGAACAGATGATGGAAGCTTGGACGTGAGACTCGTGAACCGGTGTGAATATGAATCCCGGTTTAGGCATGGAATTTGTCAAGAACCGGAGATTCTGAGCTGTCGATTCAAGGACTTCGCTGAATATAGAGACGTTTCTGGCAGGGGTGAAGAACGTTTTCTCGAGTGGGAAATCGACATTTGTATTTCTGTGGATACATTCGATGAAGTCGTGTTGTAGAGAGGTTGAAGAAGTTGGTGTTATGGTGCAGTAGAATGAAAAAGATAGGGCTAAAAGAGAAATATATGAAAAATTAGGGAGTTGTTTTGAAATTCCCATCCTTGCAGGCTGCAGCATCTGCAGAAATAAGTATATGCAAGAGAGAAGCTAAAGAGCACAGAATTAGACTTCAAGATGGAAGTGGATGTATATTGGTTTTTCTTGAACAAAAAAATATTTATATGAATATGAAAGATCGTGATAAAAACAGGATCCATTAAATTAGTTGCTGAGAGTGGAATAAATGAAATAACGTGCTTAGAAAATGGTGTGATTACATCAGTTATGTTATAACACATATCATATATGGACTCTTATACCGGCCCATTAGGTCCATCAGGGCATTGTACTTAACTTAGATTCCTTATGTACTCTATATATACATTCCAGTGATTAATAAAGTTTCTAAGTTTTCACAACACGTTATCAGCACGATAAGACTCTCTCAACGAAAAACCCTAATAAATCCGGCCACCACCAAAACCCTAAAAGCAAGTCGAAACTTAAAAGACGCATATCTTCCAAACCGTGAGGAACCAGAAGACGATCTACATATCAAATCGAAGCCCTCGACGAGACGAATCTACTGGTGAAAACCGTTTGTCGATCCAACGTCGGACGCGCCCTCACGCACACTTACAGTACACGACGATCAACCGAAAAAAAAAACCAGATCCGAGTTTTTCCTTCTTCAACCAGCAGCTTCTCCAGTTTTGGTGATCAATCCTTGGAATTTGTAGCGGCTAACTGAGGTCTATTAGCTCCCAGTTTCATTAGCCTGTCAGAAATCCAAAGGTGGAAAAGGTATCTTCTAAAACTGAAAGCCATAGAACCTGTTGTTTAAACACTTCAAAACCCTATAAAAAAAAAAAAAAAAAAAAAAAAAAAAAAAAAAAATCGATCTCTAATTGATTGAAAGTGTTTGATACTCTGATGATTGATTGATAACTTGTTGATTGATTGTTTAAATTACAAGTTTATGCATGTTCAAAGGTTTTAAACTCGTTTTATAAAACCCTAATCTACAAAAACCTAACAACCGTTTTTGGCCATGTTTATGGCATAAACCTATTCGATTTTCTTCATGTTTAATAAGCTTGTTGCAGCTTATTTGATTGTTGATTCTCTTGCTTGAAACACTTGATTGAATAAACTAAGAAAATCAACCCTAAATCCTAAGCTTGATTCACGATTTTGTAATCTTCAAAATCGTAAGTCATAATGCTTAAACCCTAGTCCTTTTCACGTGATTTCTTTGTTGTCCTTGTGAAATTATTAAAACCATCGACCACAGATCCTATAGATCTCGAAATCACATCCAAAATATGTTTTCCAAACCGTTAAAACCCTAGATAAAACCCTAATCATATTCGGCTCCCCTAGGGTTCCTCCTAAACCGCCTAAAACCGGCTAAACCTGGTTCTCATTAACCGAAATTATATTCGGCTTTAACCGATTAAATCACAGCTATTAAACCGACATCATGTTCGGGGTAACTAAAACCATACCCTTTAAAATTTACTATTTCCGAGAAAGTTCCCTCTAATAGAAAGTTTCCTCATATAAAAACTTTCCTCATATAGAAATTTTCCCGACATAGAAACTTTCCTCATTTAGAAAATTACCCAAATTAGAAACTTTCCAAATTTAGAAATTTTCCTAAAATAGAAATATTCTCAAAATAGAAAGTTTCATCATCAGCATTCAAAATTTTCTCAAAACAATCCCTAACAAAATCAATCTCATGTTTCAGATGTCAAACATTCAGAAATGTGAATTCGAGGCCCTTCACGTCTCCGGGGATAACTACCTCGAGTGGGCCCTAGACATGCGCTTGTTCCTTGCATCGAAAGAACTCGATGCATGTATTACCGACGGTAACACCGCATCCCGTAAGGGACAGTCTCAGGCGATATGTCACATACGCCATCATCTGGCCCCGAGCCTTAAGCAGCAATATCTCACTCTTGAGAATCCACTTGAATTGTGGCAAGCGCTGAAAAAGCGATATGACCATCAGAAAATGGTCCAGTTGCCTCAGGCAGATTTCGACTGGAAGAACCTTCGGTTCCAGGACTACAAATCCGTAGATGATTACAACAACGAACTCTTTCGTATTGTTGCCATCCGGAAACTCTGTGGCGAGGATGTGACAGATAATGATCTCCTCGAGAAAACATTATCCACATTCAGCACAGAGAATGTTGTGCTCCAACAACAATACCGTGCAATGAAACACACATTGTACGAAGACTTGTTGTCCTGTCTTCTCCTCGCTGAGAAGAATAACCAGCTGCTTATGAGGAACAGCGCTATGAGGCCCCCGGGATCGGCTCCTGTCCCAGCTTCTCGTCAAGAGTCCTACCATGTTCAACCTGATAGATCCTCAGATCACCGCCGTGGACGTGGTAATGGACGTGGTAATGGCCGAGGACATGGACGTGGAAGACGTGGACGCGGACATGGTCGTGGCAACCGACCTAACCTCAGTTATGGTCCTGGTCGTGGTCGAGGCATCACCAAGCCGACCCGCCACACCAACCCCGATCACTCTGCTTGTACCAGATGTGGGATGTTCAACCACCCAACAAAGCAATGTCGCACCCCCAAGATCCACTGCGATCTATACCAGAAGTACGGAAAAGCTCCTGCTGAAGCCAACATGACTCAGCCAGTCGATGCTGCTAACCTGGAAGGTGACGACCTCCTTGATGATGAGAACACCACAAACGAGCAGACCGACCCCATGGACTATGAAACAGCTGATCTCCTCGATTAATTCAATCATCTGAAACTCTGATACAATTTGATTTTGTTCTTTATTTTTTTTCATTTTGGGATTTGTTTCATTTTTTTTTTCCATTTGCCTTTATTCTCAGACACTGCTTTACTTTATGATTTATCACATTTTCTGAATTCCTCAATACTGAATTCTATCTTCTATTCATAATGAAACACACCAGCAAATGGAAACCATAGTCGTAGATAGTGGATCCAGCCACACTATCTTAAGAAATAAAAGTTACTTCATAAACCTAACCTATCAAACCGCAAATATTAGCACCATCGCGGGTCCCTCAAACCTTATCGAAGGATATGGCCATGCCTATGTGTTGCTATCAAATGGCACACAACTTGAAATACCAGATGCTCTATATTCTCCTAGTTCGAAGAGAAATCTTCTGAGCTTCAAGGATATAAGACAGAATGGTTTCCACATAGAAACCCAAGGTCAAGGGAACAAAGAATCCCTCCTAGTCACTAAAACCGTAGACGGCCATAAACAAATCCTCGAAACCATACCCGCGCTCTCTACTGGACTTTACCATGCTAAAGTCAGTATGATTGAAGCTAATACCACTCTCAAAGCCCGGTTTACTGATTATACTATTTGGCACGACCGGCTCGGTCATCCCGGTGCAAATATGATGCGTAAACTAATTCAAAACTCTCAAGGGCATACCTTCAAAGAAAACCGAGCTTATCCTCAACACCTCATGTGCACAGCTTGTTCTCAAGGCAAATTGATCACTCGGCCTTCACCAGTTAAAATCTCTAAACAAACACTTCATTTCCTAGAAAGAATCCAGGGCGATATCTGTGGACCTATACATCCATCTTCCGGACCATTCCGGTACTTCATGGTCCTTATAGACGCATCGACCCGTTGGTCATATGTTTGTCTCTTGTCCTCTCGGAACCAAGCCTTCGCTAGGTTCTTGGCCCAAATCATAAAATTGCGGGCCCATTTCCCTGACTTCCCACTAAAGACTATCCGCCTTGACAATGCTAGTGAATTTACCTCACAAGCGTTTAATGACTACTGTATGGCCATGGGGGTAACCGTGGAACATCCTGTAGCACATGTCCATACTCAAAATGGATTGGCTGAATCATTCATTAAACGCATTCAATGGATAGCCCGACCATTACTCATGAGATCAAAGCTCCCGGCCTCAGCATGGGGACATGCAGTATTACATGCTGCTGAACTCATACGCATCCGGCCATCTAGTGAACACAAATATTCCCCATCCCAACTACTCTCGGGTCATGAGCCAGACATCTCCCATCTCAAAACATTTGGGTGTTCAGTATATGTACCCATTGCTCCACCACATCGAACCAAAATGGGACCTCAAAGAAGGATGGGAATATATGTTGGTTTTGACTCTCCCACCATCATAAGATATCTCGAGCCAACCACTGGAGATCTCTTCAAGGCCAGATATGCGGATTGCCAATTCGATGAATCGGAATATCCCTCTTTAGGTGGTGAGACAAACAAGCTGGTCAAAGATCTTTCATGGAATCAAACATCATTAAATTGGCAAGATCCTCGGACTCTAGAATGTGATTCAGAGATCCAAAAGATTATTCATTATCAAAAGCTAGCTAATCAATTGCCAGATTCCTTTGCTGACCCGACCAAAGTAACCAAATCGTACATCCCAGCTTGTAATGCACCAGTACGAATAGCTGTCCCAACGGGACAGACCCAAGTTGCTACAGAGTCTGCACCACGTCTCAAACGGGGCAGACCTCTCGGTTCCAAAGATAAGAATCCCCGGAAATCAAAGAAAGGTGCAATAACCGAAACTGGGATTCCTGCAATATCAGACATAGCCGCGGCTGAGACTCAATCTAATGAACCCTCAATGGAAGTTCGGGACGCCGAATCTCCAGGTTCAGAAGATAACAATGAGATCTCCATCAATTACAATATGTCCAGAATACAATGGAATCGAAAAGAAGTCGACTTAAATGCACTCTTTGCATACAAAGTAGCACTTGATGTTGCGCTCACGCAAGAGGATCTAGAACCCACGTCAATAACACAGTGTACACATCGAACAGATTGGCTAAAATGGAAAGAAGCCATAAACGTGGAGTTAAAGAGTCTCAAACTCAGAAACGTGTTCGGTCCGATCTTCCGGACCCCATCACACATCAAGCCAGTGGGCCACAAATGGGTCTTTGTGCGCAAAAGGAACGAACTCGGTGAAGTCGTTCGATACAAAGCACGGCTTGTAGCACAAGGATTATCACAGAGACCCGGAATCGATTATGAGGAGACTTATTCTCCAGTGGTGGATGCAACAACATTCCGATTCCTCATAAGTCTGGCCATAAGAGAAAATCTTGATCTGCGGTTAATGGATGTTGTAACCGCATATCTCTATGGGCCCCTGGACAACGAAATATATATGAGACTCCCAGATGGCATTGAACTAAAAGACAAAAATGCATCTCGAGATCAATACTGCATCAGGCTGAACAAATCCTTGTATGGACTGAAACAAAGTGGGCGTATGTGGTACAACCGCCTCAGCGATTACCTCATCAAAGAAGGCTACAAAAATGACCCCATCAGTCCATGCATCTTCATCAAGAAGTACTCAAACAAAGGATTTGTAATCATAGCAGTATACGTGGATGATCTAAACATCCTCGGAACATCTGGTGAGATCTCCCAAACAGTCGACTGCTTAAAAGCAGAATTCGAAATGAAAGACCTAGGCAAAACAAAGTACTGTTTGGGATTACAACTTGAGTACATCAAAGGAGGAATCCTTGTGCATCAATCGGCTTATATCAAAAAGGTACTCAAGCGATTTAATATGGACCAAGCTCACCCATTGACCAGCCCAATGGTAGTTAGAAGCTTAAGTGATGACCCTCTTGGTCCCAAAAAGGATGATGAAGAAATCCTTGGTCCTGAAAAGCCATACCTCAGTGCTGTAGGAGCGTTAATGTACCTGGCTAGTCACACTAGACCAGACATATGTTTCGCCGTGAACCTCCTCGCTCGATATAGTTCATCTCCAACTCAGAGGCACTGGAACGGTATAAAACATCTCCTAAGATACCTTCGAGGTACTCAAGACTTAGGACTCTTCTATACTAACCAAAATAAAGATGGGTTAGTCGGCTTCGCCGATGCAGGATATCTATCAGATCCGCACACTGCCAAGTCTCAAATTGGCTACGTTTTTACGCATGGAGGAACAGCCATCTCTTGGAGATCAATGAAGCAGACACTCACTGCCACTTCATCAAACCATGCTGAAATCCTAGCCATTCATGAGGCTAGTAGGGAATGCGTCTGGCTGCGCTCCATGACTCAGCACATCCGCAGAGATTGTGGTATGGACGAAGACACACAGCCCACGGTGATGTATGAAGACAACGCGGCATGCATAGCTCAGCTCAAGGAAGGATATATCAAAGGAAATCGGACGAAGCACATTCTACCGAAGTTCTTCTCAACCTCTGGCAGAAGGACGGCACTCTCAGCGTTCAGCAGGTCCGATCCAGTGAGAATTCAGCTGACCTCTTCACCAAATCATTGCCTACTTCAACACACCGGAAGCTCGTCAAACAGATAGGAATGTATAGACTTAGAGATCTGTAGTGATGCTACAATCAGGGGGAGTAATGCGTGTTGTACTCTTTTTCCTTCACCATGGTTTTGTCCCACTGGGTTTTTCCTGGTAAGGTTTTAATGAGGCAACATTCCCCAGCGCATTATCGAGATCCCGATTGAGTAGCTGACCCGGTTCACTCGTCTAAGGGGGAGTGTTATAACACATATCATATATGGACTCTTATACCGGCCCATTAGGTCCATCAGGGCATTGTACTTAACCTAGATTTCCTATGTACTCTATATATACATTCCAGTGATTAATAAAGTTTCTAAGTTTTCACAACAAGTTACGATTATTTTATGACAACAGTTTTCTGGAACAACTTAACCTTTTACCAACCAAAAAAAAAAAACAATTTCCTGGAACCGTGACAGCCAATTTTCACACGTCTTGAAAACGTTGACTCGTTGACTTTGTGTAAAAATACTAAAATTTTAGAAATGCACGTTCATACCGATTCGGCGTGAATATAGTTTGACTGATTATAAAAGTAAAACCAAATTAAGTGGCTTTTTTTCTAAATATTTTGTTTTTAGTTAACATTGTCAACTATACACATTTGTTTTGAAACGGCAATGGTATTAGTAGAGAAATTACTATCTAACATGTTTGGTCAATTTCGTTTCTATATTTTAGAACAAAAATTTTCTATACAATCGCATGAATTAAAAAAATATACATTAAAACCTCTATAAATTAATAATATCGAAACTATAATATTTTATTAATTTATCGTATAATTAATTTATCTATAAATTAATAATTACTAATTTATAAAAAAAAAATTGTGTTCTACTTATAATTTTTTAAAACTTTCTTTCCAATAATGTTATATTTAAAATATAAACAAATCTCTCAATATAATTTATGATTAACAATCATAGCTATCACAATAAAATAATTTTAAATAGCATATTGAATTATCCATGTAAAAATATACATGAACATGTTCATAAGTTTAAAATTTATAAAAAAAAATCATGGCGATAATCCGTATTATTGATGATAAAATTAAAGATAACACTACCATACATTTAGAAACATTTATATTAAAAAAAAATTATCACATTAAAAAAATCATTATAAATTTTGAATAATATCGTAAAACAACAATAAAAGCTACTAATATAATAATTAGATAAATAAGACTCAATAAAATTTTAATTTAAGTAAAAACAAACACATTAGTTATATATTAGAATATTATATTTACATATATTTTCATAAATTTATATAATTACTAATTTATGTTTTTGTTGGGACCATATATTTACACATGGATTTCCAAAAAAATTATTATCTTATCATCTTATCGAATTTGATGGATTTTTACATTGTCCTGAGTTGAAACTAACAAAATTTATTATTTTATAGTGATTATAAATATATCGAGTATTAATTCATAGAGGTTCTACTGTATATGGATAAATTTTTATAGATAAGTTTGTCAGTTGTGATAAATATTTAATTATATAACTCAGGTTGTTAAAGTTTTATAATATTGAATTCTAGAGACAAACCTATTTCAGATCCGGTGGTTGACGATTATTTGGCCACTATGTTTAGGGTTCGATGTCGAGAAAAAATGTGAAAATATATAAAGTATCAGTAAAAGGTTACCGGAAATCTCTAACTTAGTGTAAGTTGAATTGTTCAATGGATTTGTATATGTTACGACCACAACTGTTTATCATGAACATGGTACCATGTAAAACCGTTTATCATTTATTTCTATAGTGTGAATATAACTCTGTTGTAAAGTCATCCATACAAAAAAAAAAAAAAATTGTAGGATTTTCAGTTACAAACCAGACGACAAACAAAAAAAAAACTAGATCAAATAATGAAAATTGTATACCAAAAAGCTTTAACCAATTTGAATTAAAAAGCAAGTGTCCTCAAGTAATACCTTCATCATCATCTGATCATCTTTTGGTTTTAGGAAAAGAATTAAGCCCATTTTACAAGAGTTCAAATCAGATTGGAATTTAGAAAACCCACTTTACAAGAGTTCATTATAATGAAGCTAAACTACTATAATTCTAAATCAAAAAAGGACTTTTTTGCTCTCTATTCACACACACATTAGTGAATCTTAATCCGATTAAAGACACAGATTTTATGTTTCTTTCTTATTAATCAAACATACATATATATATATATATATAAGAGTTCAAGACAGACCACCTAAAATTAGGAAAAACAGAGCATAGCAAAAACTAAAAAAAAAAAAAACAACTTGGCTGACATGTTTAGGTTAAAGAAAGTACTACAAACATGCTTAATATTATTAACTAACAACATTTTCTGAAATACAGAAGAACCATTATCTGATTTCTTCTGCAGGTTTATTCATATTTGATAATTTCTTGAGATTTAGTCTCGAACCGGCAAAGGTGGGATACTCTGCTCGTGTCTGAAGAAGTTCTCTGGATCAACCTTTGATTTAATCTTCATCAATCTGTTGAAGTTGCCTTTGAAGTACTTAGCTCCCCAGACTTGAGCTTGCTTGATGCTTGACATGGCGGTTTTCTTGTTCTTTCCCAGGTCTAGATCTCTGTAGTTCACGTAGGATTGTCGTGGATTGCTTGAGACATAGGGCGTCATGAAACTGTAGAGATCTCTGATCCAGTTGATGTGTCTGCTCGGTCTCTTGTCACTGTCTGGCCAACTCGTTACGTACTGAATCTTGAAGATGACTCCTTTTCTATGCGGAAAAGGGATTTGTGACTCAGGGATTCTCGCCATCATTCCTCCGTAAGGATTCCATATCATCATTGGTATGTCTTCTTTAAGCAACTTTTGAAAGATCCCTTTAAGCCCTGATTCAGGAATCGGCTTCTTGACGAAATCGGATTTGGCTTTGAAGTTGATCTTTGGGAAAGGAGACTTCCCTTGAAGCAAAACATGAGTAGGAGTGCGGCTAGAGAATCCAGAGATGTAAACAATAGATTCGAGCCAGCTCATTTCGATGCAATCTTTAGGTGTTAGACCTAGCTCCGGGAAGCTCTTCTTCATAACATTCATCAACGCGCCTTTGTTTCCAAGAAACACAGCATTGTACGACGTCGTCGCGGTCTTGTTCCCGTTGTTTCCAGCTACGTTGAAGATCACTCTGATGAATAGCTCATCAACAAGCTTGTCCGCGACCATTTGCCACTTTGAAAGAATCTTGTTGCCTGCGTCTTGTTGTAACGTTTTGGTGACGGTGAAAACGGTTACAGTCTTTGGAACAGGAACAAGCTTGATTTTCCATGCAAGAATTATGCCAAAACTCCCTCCTGCACCTCCTCTAATCGCCCAAAATGTATCATCTCCCATTGCTTTTCGGTTGAGTACTTTACCGTTAGCATCAACGATCTTTGCGTCTAGAACATTATCTGCACCAAGACCGTATTTCCTCATCATGGAACCGTATGCACCGCCTGTTAAATGTCCACCGATGCCTAAGCTCGAGCACAAACCTGCCGGAAACCCATGTACTCTGCTCTTCTCTGCAATCCTACAGGTAAAAAAAAAATAGTTTGATCAAAATATACAATCAAAAGATTCATCGTAAGAATACTAGAGATAACTTGGCGAGCAAGATGTGTATCTTGTTCTCCAAGGTATCTCTAATAAAAAGATTGTTTTGCCTTAATTTATATACTTGTAATAAAGTTCACCAACTGTAGCACCAGCTTGAACCCAAGCACTATTGTCTTTAATGTTGATGTTGATCTGTCTCAGTTTCGACAGGTCCATCACTATAAACGGTCTTTCCATCTCTGAGACATAAGACAAGCCCTCGTAGTCGTGACCGCCACTTCTGACACGGAAATGAATTCCGAGTTTCTTGGAACAGATTATAGAAGCTTGGACTTGAGACTCGTCGAGAGGTTTGAATATGAATCCTGGTTTAGGCATGGATTTTGTCAAGAACCGGAGATTCTGAGCTGTGGATTCAAGAACTTGGCTGAACATAGAGACATTTTTCGCTGGTGCGAAAAACGTGTTTTCGAGTGGGAAATAAACATGAGTGTTTCTGTGAAGACAGTTGATGAATTGGTCTTGCAGGGAAGCTGAAGAAGTTGGTGTTATGGTGTAAAGTGAAAAAAATAAGGCCAATATTGAAAGAAAAGAAAGCACAGGGGATGGTTTAGAAAGTGCCATTCTTTTTTGTTAGGGAGCTCTGCTCTATTGCTTGCTACTCCTTGATACCAATTGCATCTGCAAAAATTCAGTCTATAAATGGATAAAAAAAATCTATACCTTTTTACACGCTCTTCTAAAAGTTTCCACAAATGTAAAACTTTTTGTTTGTTCTCTATGAAAATTATTGCCCAAAGGCCCAAACCTTTATGATAAAGTAGTCACATTGAGTACCAAAACTGAAGGAAGTCAAATTTTTCATCATTGGATTGTTGATTTTAATGATACCACTAAGAACTCAGTGCCCATATTAAAGGTAAAAGTATACAAACAAAGTTATTCGTAGAGACTTACCAACTTGACCGGAGTTAGTTACGTTTCACGGTGGAGACGACGACGACTGAGACTGAGACTGAGACTGAGTCAAGAATTTAGAAATATTGAGGAAATATGAAATTGGTCGTTCAGTTTTAAACGTCAGTGACGGCTAGTGTGAGACAACCAAAATATTTTCAAACTGACCTAACGTGACGTGACAGACATTTTTGTTCTCTTGTGTTTGAAAAGCGTTGCAGTTGGTATCTGTAAAAAACTAGAAGTTTAGGTGGCAAAATATTCGTGATATCCTTGTTTTGAGCAGTTTTTGTGTTTTGGTTTAATCTGAAAAATCCAGAATAATTATAATTTATTTTTTGTTAAAGGTATAATTATATAATTGTATAATTATTATTATTTATAAAGTAAAAATACCCCAAAATACCATTAAACAAATATCAAAATTTAAACCAAATTAAAGTAAACATAAAATTTAATTATTATTATATTAAAAAGTAAATGTGGTAGATAACCTCGCTCGTGTTCATAATTAATTAGAAAAGACAATATTATACTATTGCGCATTTTTCAATATGGCACTCTTACCCCTATATATCCAGCTCGATTTTTCTTATCTTTTTCTTCTTTCTCTCTACCTTTCTCCACAAATATTTGACAGCAACCTTTTTTTGATGTTGTTTCTATTCCTCAAATATTTCAATGCATATCTGCTCAACTATTGTTCTCCGTGCTCTAATGGTGTAAAAGACTGATTTTTTTTTAGCTTCTGCAATATAAGTTTTTTTCAAGTTCGATTTGATTTCTCCGAGAGAACTAATCAAAATTGCTGAGTTTATCTAAATTAAAGTTATTTTAGTTTTGTCAGTTCTCTGAAATTATATATTTGCTGATGTAAATTAGAAATTATGTTTCTTCTCTAAAATTATGGATTTGAGATTGAGAGAAAGATTATTGAAGACGGAGATCTCGATTGAGTTACGTTAGGAAAATGTTAATCTGAAAGTTAACAATCAACAATTTTATTACTCTATTAATCAAATATTAGAGATCTATTTAATAATTAATACCATCCAAAAATCATTTTAACATATCAAAATAATATATAGCTGGATAATATATAGTTGGTTATCTTTGAATCCAAAAGTTGCACTCACTCCAAATTATCATTGAATTTTGAATTAGGATTCTAAATTGAGTGTTAGATTGCTAATATTTTGTATAGATGATTACAATTTATTTACTATACCATATAAATATTTTGATATATCTTTAATATTCCACTTAACATGTTAACTATATTATTACATAATATATATTTAAATTAGTACTCGATAAGCCAAGCCAAATATAGCAACTGAAATTAAACACGCTAACAAATTGTATAGTTTCATAACATGTTATGTAATTTTATAACTTATATGTTAACATATATGAGATTAAAAGCAGCGCACTAAAGAATTATTTAGACTGCTTACATTTAATGTAACTGTATAACTTATATGTTAATGGGTTCTCATGTAATCAATTATCGAACCAAATATAGCAATTCAGAGATGTCAAAGAATACAAAAATCTTTTTTCTTTTAAGAATACAGAAACTTACCATACTAACGAAGTATGTAGTTTGATAAGAAGTTATGTAATTGTATAACTGATATGTTAAGTAAAAAAGAATGATGAAAGAGAAAGTCCATATGAAAAAATACTCGTAACAAAAGAAGGAGATGGTAAAGAGTAATAACACTCTCAAAGTGTCAAACCAATATCATACTAATTTACTGTTTTTCCTATTTTGCTAATTTTGACCAGATTTTAGAATTTTTAGAAATTGTCTCTATATTAAAAGCTTTGATATGTTTATGAACTGATGAACAGAGCAGATTGGATACACTATATAGTAAATAATTTCATATTCGATAATCTAATAAATACAATAAATGAATAAATATATATGTTCCTGAATTAGTTTGTTTAAATATAATAAAACTTGATAAAAGGTTTCTTTTAAAAATATTATGTAGATATATGGTCCTTTTTGATATCGTAAATCAATAATTAATGCATATAAATTTTTTACAATCATAAAAAAAAAATAGTTTAACAAAATAAATTATAGAGTTTTTTTTATTCAAAGTGAAGCTCAACTCTAATTTTTTTCCTTGTTTCAGAAATTTCCTGGTGTTGTTTTATCGAATTTTCAACTAAAATTGCATCTACACTATAAAACATGTATGTTCGATAAACGAAAAAAACCTGTCTTAACCAAAAATCTAATATTAGTAAACAGAAGAACAAAGCAAATATAAAAATTAAAAATTTAATCAATAAATATACACGTAAAAGTAAAATTTTAAATTAAAAATAGTATTGTAGAAGATTATGGATTTAAAAACACTTCTAAATTAATAATTTATAAATTAATAAAACACTCAGTAATAGTAATTTATAGAGTGGATATTTGGACATAGAATATTCAATTTGATCTAGAGCAGATACTGATCAGAAGCAATTTTCTTCGCTGGTTGGTCAAATCTCATATACCGACACGATCTTGTTCTGTTAGGGTTGGGTTAGGTGATTGGGTCAGGTCGATTTTTATAAATGAGATGTAGAAAAGAACAAAAAATGGGTTCTTCATTCCATATACAATTTATCAATGACTGTCCAAATCCACCAAATTCGACAATAATTGTTTTTATTTGATGGGTTACGATCACGTGGATTAGGTCCATTGCAACCATTTTTAAATAACTAAATCCTGATTAGACAGGTCAAATTGTCAATTCTGAACCACGCTCAAAAATTAGAGCACGACAGTACTTGAATAAATGAAAATTCTTTCAAAAAAAATATATTATCTAAAGAGTGATTTGCATCAATATTCTGTTTGGAATCATCAATTAGGAAATTACAAGCGAAAGACAGTCAATTATGTCTATAGCAGAAGTTAATGAAAAAAAAACATGTGGAAATAACGAGCTAATCCTTGCCTCCGAAAAGAAAACAACGCTTTTTCTGACCCCAGATAGGACCACACCAGTTTACACACAATGACACGCTACCATGCTTCCCAAACACTAACAAGCGAAACTTTTGGCTTTACTTTCTCCATCCAAACTCGAACCTTTGTCGTTTAGTATGGGGTTGTACAGATAGGTTTATAGCGTGGGGTCTTGGGTGAGCCACATAAATAGACAGAAGCTCATAATATCTTACACCGTCGCTAGTAAACAACATTGTTATGATTTGTCTACAAAGAAGATTAACGAAGGTATGACTACTCCTAAATGAATATTGTGACTACTTTTGAGTTAGTAGTTAGTTATTTAGTGTTTGTTTTCTTTGTGGTGAATGTAGATGTTGGGGAGACAAATAGTTTTGCTTGTGAGGGGGAAATGGTTCGAAGGCGGGAATGGAGTGTGGACTTTTCTGACGGAGCGCACAGGGAATAACCAAGCTGTTTTTCTTAGCTCAAGGATGAAGTTCAAGAAAGTGGTGAAGCTGACTAAAGAGAAAATGGGGATACACGAAGACGTCGGCGTAGCTCTTACTTACCAGTGGCCCTCGTACATGCTTATGGACGACGGAAGGGACGCACCACCAGTCTCCATACGAACGGACGATGATGTCGCCCTTTTTGTTGAAATGAGGTCCGAGATTGACCAGCTGAATCTCTGCATCACCGCGGATGATGACCAGCTGAGTGAGGGTGTGAGGGAGTCTGCAACAAGGGAGACGGCTATGGTTGTCTATGAAAAATCAGCCGATAACAAAGCAGATAACGAGGGTAATATATTATAACTACTTGACTATAACGTAGTTAACTATTATGTCAAAGTAGTTATATTAAGACATTTATAAGTAGACATATACTACGTACCATAGCTATCTTTATTAGCTGACGTTTTAAATCATGTTGTGTGCAGGAGAATCTGGTGGAAAAGATAAAAGCGATGAAAACAAAGAGGGTAAGATCTTAGAACTAGCTGTTTATCACGTAGTTGTCTATTACACTTAATATGCCCGAACTAACGTTACAAAGTAGATGAGTACTATCTAAGGTGATATAAACGCAAAAACGGTATACATCTATAAGTAGACGTTTATAATGTGGATTATAAAAAATTTACAAGTATGAGATCTGTAGTAATAGTAAACAGCTATTGCTAATTACATAATAATAGACGTTGTCGATGTTGGTTATAAAGTTTGAATCAATGTGTTATATATTACTAGTAAATAATTATCATCTGACCACTATAAGTAAACGTATACTATGCAAATGATTACCTTTAAGTAGCTGATATTTTAAGTCATGATGCATACAGGAGAATCTGGTGAGAAAGATGAAAGCGGTGACAATGTGGAAGAGCATGTAATTCGTCTGGATGGAGAGTTGAACTTTCTGGTGAGTGATGATGACTCAGTTGAGGGGAGGAACGTAGAGTTCAACGAGTCTGCCAAGGATGATGAAGACTCGGTGAAGGATCAAGATGAGGTGGCAAAAAGACGAGCGAAAGGAAAGGACAAAGTGCAAGAAAACGAACCAAAAAATCAAGGCCCACAAAAAGGGGAATGTAGCAATCATTCCGCCCGTTACAGCTGCGCCGACGAGACCATTAATGGGGTCTTCAATGAGACAGAGGAGTTCCCTGCCATGTTTGGGAGGGATGCTCCCCCAATCGTAGATGAAATTTCTGACGACGGTGAGTAGTTATTTATATATGAGTAGTTACCAAGTAGTACACTACGTCTAGGAAATAATCAGATTGTGCCTTTGATAATGCAGGAATTGACAGTGCCTTGACGGATGTGCGGTACGAGGGGGACAGAATTTTCGTAGGCAGGATTTTCCGTAACAAAGTGGAGTGCAATATTAAGATGGCCATCCATGCCATCAACAGAAAATTCCATTTCAGGACTCCACGTTCAACTCCAAGCTATATGGAGTTCCTGTGCGTTAATCACAGCTGTCCATGGCGGGTCTATGCTTCCCTGATGGATGCGACAGGGAACTTCCAGATTAAGAAGGCCACGCTTAAACACACATGCCCCATTGAAGACCGCCGG